ACACACACACACACACACACACACACACACACACACACACACACAGTATTGTATTATTGTATGAGAGAGGTTCCAGGTTGAATTGAGGCGAATATTTGTAATGTTCAGAGGTTGTTGTGTTTAATATTCATGAGAATATTTGTCATTGTTCAAATGATAATAAACAAACATAAAGCATAGTTGTCCACTCATATGTTGATAAGAGTATTAAAAAATATCCCTCTAAGGTACATTTAGAACAGATAAAAAATGTGCGATTAATTTGCGATTAATCGCGATTAACTATGGACAATCATGCGATTAATCGCGATTAAATATTTTAATCGACTGACAGCCCTAATTGTAATATTAAATGATGAAGCTAGTAATAACATTTACAGTATAGAATAGAAAAATTAAGTGGTAATAGTAGCAATTAATACCTTTCCTCCATTTTGTCTTCTGGCTCAGACTGGCTATCAATAATGATAGGTGCATACACATTGGTGTAGTTGCTACAGTGAGAAGACAGTTGAATAATTACTTTCAAATACATAATATATGCATGACAGTCATATTTACAAAAGGATGTCGATCCTCTTCCTGTTTTTTTTTTAATACATTGGGTTCTAAACTGACAACAGCACGTTTGGCATACTCCAGCACAATCCTTGTAAACATTTGAAATGGATGCAAGAAACAATATCTGATCTTTGAAAAATATTTGTGGGTGTTTTTTGTATCGTCTTCACTAAGATGTCAGATGTTGTGGGTGTCATTTGGAAATGTATAAAAGTATAATTGTTCTGCTTACTGGCCATGTTACCCACTGTGATTGGAGGCTATACAAACAACCAAATGTACAAACAAAGATACACACCAAACAACTGTGTCACGATGCAACTGTCAACATCGTTTACCTATAGAAGTTGTTCTGACCCGGGGCAGATTGGACCTCTTCCTGGAATGGGGTTGGTGCTCCATCCTATTCTTACCCAGGAAATAAGTGCAATTGATCTAATGGCAGTGTCATTAGCACACAAAGGTATTTATTGATTTCATGTTCATAAATTCAAACCTACATGGTATAATTACATTTTTAATTAGTCTTATCCGATCAGACGCTTGTTGTGGGTGCCTGAGAGGTCTGATAAAGGTAAAAAACAAATATATTCAAATTACTGTACTGTTAAAACATTCTGCTTCTTGTGGCACAAAATAATATGTTGACAATGTTTTATTTTACCCTTGCAAACTGTTGTCGATTCTTGGAGTGCTCACTTTTGGAACATTTGGAATGTCCCACACCTGCATACACACAAATGACTGACTGAAATAAAATAAATTCACTTTAATTAAGAATAAATGCCACAATAAATCCAAACTGACCAAGGTGTCAGAAAGAGGACTGTCTCCAGATGGCAAATTGACATGGACCACACTGTCCTCTTCACTTGAAGATGTTCCAGTGTAACCTAAGAAAAAAAAAAGTGTCATTATTGATACAAGTATAAAATTAAAGATAATTATTCCCCTCCGTCTGTACCTATTATCAAATGTTGGTTTGGCACAATAAACCAACTCCTCTCTGCACCTATACTATATCTATATGATGTCAAGAGTTACATTTAGGTGCACAATGCACAGTGGCGTTTTTATATGTACAAAAGTGGTGGGGCACAAAAAACTTAGATGTCTATATATAAGCTTCTGCAGTGACGTGCAGTGAGGTTCATGGCTGGTGAGGCACTGGCACTGACTCTTCAGGTTTACAAATATTATATTTTGACCTAAACCAAAATATAATATTATTTTCAAAAGCTTTTTTTGTCTGATGCTTCGATTAATTTTAAACAGACAGTTCAACAAAAGGATACCCAAAAAATGTAATTTTATCATTTAAATATTGAATTGTTCTCTCTTAGTAAGATCCCATTTTCAATAAAATGGCGGTCTTACCTTGACTTGAAGATGAAGTCCATTTGCCTATCCTTCTGGACAAACATTTCTATTACTTTTTTGTAAAAGTCCTCCTTATCTTCTTGTAGTTTCAAAAGTCTATCATAAATCTAATCCATAGATTTATGATAAAAAAATTATAAAAGTAGGGTAGACATGTGGATGTTATCCGGCTGAACAAAACGTGCATTTATCAAACAGGTACGTTTCCCACAGATCTTATTTCGAGCTATTTTCTAAAATCCTCTGGAGAAATCTCATTGCTTTTTTGTGCTTACTTCCTGGTTTTAGGACGCGTCACTGCAGCTCTCTTGTCTCCTCTTCACACAGCACACTTTTCGCGGCACACGTACTTACAGCCAATCAGCTCTGAATGATTTGAGATGACGTATGGTGGGGATGGTAGCTCCGTGCCCCTCTGGTCATTATTTTTTTGCCACACACATTACATTACAAAATACTCTGAGCATGCGCAGTGTAGTTTTTACAGTCATCGTTCACTTCACAGCGAGAGGAAGGGGCATAATCAGGTTTTGTCCCACATGGCTCTAAACAGCTCAATAGGCACACACTGTGACTGTAGACACACTAATTAGAAGAACACAGACTAAAACAGCAATGTACAGACGAATCAGATGATTAAACATGATCTTAAAATATATTTTATATATTTTTTTATTTATTTTTTTGCATTTTTGTAATCATTATTTGTAATACTTTCTGCTGACACTAGGTGGGGCTGTGCCCCACCTGCCCCTAATGACCAGTCGCCACTGACAATGCAACAAGTCCTCCAACTCATACGACCAAATGGGCCGATTGTTCAGGCCCTTATTACGACCAAATATGTCGTTTGTTCAAGTGCTTAATACGTCCTATAATTACGTTTTCTAGTGCTCCCGTTGAATGCTCCAAATTGACCAATCCGCGGACTTCCTCACACACACACACTCAATCTTTTCTCAGCTGCAGCTCCGCCGATTTCTAATCCCTGAGACGGCGGGACGCGGCGAGGCTGTGAGTCGGTGTGTGAGCACACACACAAACTCCCAGCCAGGCTGCGGGTGTGTGTGTGTGTGTGTGTTCGGGCTGGATTTCGCTGTGTCTCGCTGTCTCGCAGACGGCCACTGGGCTCATAGGGAGGGGGGGGGGCAGGAGCTCCAACAAGCCGTTTAGGACAGAGAGTGAATACACATACTATAGAGAGATGCTGTATGAGAAACCAATGCGATTTTGGAAAATTGCACAATATAAATCTATTTTAGTAGACCTCAACAATGGAATTATGATCAGTAGAAATGGCCATAACATGGTACCTTCAATCAAAGTTACTTTCCACAGTTTGCACGCATCCAGCTGAATAATAGGTCATTTTACATAATTAAATACTTTAATAACAATATAGGGAAAGCTAAATAAAACATACATGATCAAATTATTGCATATCAAACAATTACAGATGAAACTAAAGAACAGATTTCTTTGCATATAACATAATTACAGAATGAAAAATAACAATATAAAAATACATACTATAGCAAAAGATTTGCAAATCCATCACTGAGCACAAAACGATTGTACAGGAAGTCTATCTGTCACATATTGAGCTCATTTATATATAAAGCAACCGCCCAAACATGCTAAGTATAACTTCCCCTTTTTTCTTACATTGCACCACTAGTCAAACTATACACAGAAATCAAGCTTTTTATAAGAATCCATCCTGAAAATGATCATAAAACCATTAACAGAGATTAGAAAAGGTGTGATGGCGTGATTGTGGTTAGGAGATGGTGTCGTAGAGGCTGTTGGGATCATTGGTGGAAGCTTTCACAGTCGAATAAGTCACTGCGTCACCTTCATCTGCATCGTTCTCAATCTTAACCTGGAAGGAAATAGCACAATATAAATGACTGCAGGACTCTAGAAGACAACAGTACGAAGAAACATCATTGATAGGCTACAGTAAAACAGACAACATGACACACACAGTGGCGACTTGTCATTAGGGGCAGGTGGGGCACAGCCCCACCTAGTGTCAGTAGAAAGTATTACAAATAATGATTACAAAAAATGCAAAAAAAAAAAAAAATATATATATATATATATTTTAAGATCATGTTTAATCATCTGATTCGTCTGTACATTGCTGTTTTAGTCTGTGTTCTTCTAATTAGTGTCTACAGTGTGTGCCTATTGAGCCGTTTAGAGCCATGTGGGACAACACCTGATCATGCCCCTCCCTCTCACTGTCTAAGTGAACGGTGACTGTAAAAACTACACTGCGCATGTTCAGAGTTTTTTCCTATTTAATGTGTGTGGCAAAAAAATAATGACCATAGGGGCACTGAGCTGCCATCCCCACCATACATCATCTCACATAATTCAGAGCTGATTGGCTGTAAGTACGTGTGCCGCGAAAAGTGTGGTGTGTGAAGAGGAGACGAGAGAGCTGCAGTGACGCGTCCTAATACCCGGAAGTAAGCTGCGCATGGCTTCCCTCGACAAAAAAGCAATGAGATTTCTCCATAGGATTTTAGAAAATAGCTGGAAATAAGATCTGTGGGAAACGTACCTGTTAGATAAATGCACGTTTTTTTCAGCCGGATAATATCCACATGTCTACCCTACTTTTATAATTTTTGAATCATAAATCTATCGATTAGATGTATGATAGACTTTTTAAACTACAAGAAGATAAGGAGGACTTTTACAAAAAAGTAATAGACATTTTTGGTCCAGAAGGATAGACAAATGGACTTCATCTTCAAGTCAAGGTAAGACCGCCATTTTATTGAAAATGGGATCTTACTAAGAGAGAACAATTCAATATTTAAATGATAAAATATAATAATAATATTTGTAAACCTGAAGAGTCAGTGCCAGTGCCTCACCAGCCATGAACCTCACTGCACGTCACTGCAGAAGCTTATATATAGACATCTAAGTTTTTTGTGCCCCACCACTTTTGTACATATAAAAACGCCACTGGACACACACAGTGCACAATGTAATAAAGCACAACAAAAACAATGTGTTATGTTTCTTTACAGACAGCGTACCTCAGCTTTTTTGTTGGTATTCTTGGTGTAGCTGATGGAGGCGTAAGAAACTCCTTCTTCAGGATCAGCCTACACAGAAAGGACAAGATAATAAATGTTCACTAACATATTACAGCACATTTTTGTTGTTGATTTGACTTTCCACTTCTGGTTTTACACTAATTTGCTCTTCCTGTGCAGTGCAGCGACACCGTCTAACTTCCCTTATTCATCTTTATTGCACATTCTCACACCCATAAGGCCGAACAACCTGAAAGATAATTATGATTTTGAAAGAAAAGACTTGTTTCAGTGAGTGAACTCACTGTGGCCGGGTTGGTCTCTGGAGAATTCACTGCAGGGTTTGAGGTCTGTCCCTGGACAACAAGCATTAAACACTTCAGTTAATTCACATCGTGGAATAATACAAACACCAGTTTAACATATTCAATGTATCTTTGAACATTTCAGAGGACTGATCCCGTTCATTTTCAGGTTCATATTGTATGTAGTGTCTCTACTGGGACATGTCTCCCTGCTTTAATGTTCAAAAAGCTCTTTATTTTTCTCATACTGCCTGTGCTGCAGCACCTCTTTTCACCCTCTGTCTGAAACCAGAGCCCAGTCTGCTCTGATTGGTTAGCTGTTAGCTGGTCGGCTCTGTTGTGATTGGTCAATCACTTAGAGATGTCCCACCCCTTAGCCTATCACGTAAAATGTATTAGAGCGCTGGCCAATAGTAGCACATGTGTTATATAGTGAGGTGAGGTGTGTGGGAAAAAAACTCCCTCTGAAGGGAACACAGGGATTTTAGCCTTTGCAGACCATTTACATGCACTAAATCCTATATAACACACTACAGGAAAAGATGATTATGATGTCCTGTATTCATTTAAGAGGGTGTAGGGCAGGGGTGTCAAGCTCAATTTCATCACGGGCCACATTAGCATTATGGTTGCACTCAAAGGGCCGGTTGTAACAATATAAATATATAATATATATATAAAAGAATGTATTATATTACATTATTGCCTCTGAATTGGATTATTATCGGATAGGGTAATAACTAACTACGTTTGAAAGCAGAAGTCCAGGGCAAATAATTGCAAGTCTCTTCAGTGTGCATGTCACAAAACGAGATGCATTGTGGGACATGTAGTTTATGGGCAACCTGCTTCTGTAAAGCGGCATGTAACCGTATAATAAACGTATTATATTCTTTGCAAGCTCTTGCGGGCCACATTAAATGAAGTCGCGGGCCGGATTTGAGTTTGACACCCCTGGTGTAGGGTGTAATGCTCATGCATGTTAAATAAGCAAATCCCAAACATTAGTTTACGGCCCTTTTTGCTTTTCCTCTTAATCACTTCCTTTGCCTTAGCGAATGCAACCCCTTTGTTTAATGACAGCACAGTCACTAATGGTTATGAAACACTTGCTTTTTTTCAACTTTAAATACAAATATATATTTAAGAACTCACAACACTGTCACTTTTCCGTGCTTCTTTCCCTGAAAAGACAAACAAAAGGGGGTTGACTTTAATTTCCACATTCTACATTTGATTTTATTAAATAAATGATTGTTTACAAAAAGTGTCATATATGTTTTCTCACCTTTCATTTTCCTCCATGTGATGAAAGCCACAATGGTTATTAGAAGTGCTACGAGAACCAAAGCCACAACTATGTACAACCACCAAACTGAAACGATAATAAATGGGCGAAATTGGAGGTGAGGTGAATAGCGGAGATACTTACATTACATGTAGGTGCTAAAAAAAGAATGTGTTACTTTCTACCAAATCAAAGTTACTTTTGCATCCAAAAACTGCATCCAAAAAAACACGTAATCTGCAACTAGTTTTCACAAAATAAACCAAAAACACTTATTTAAAGGACCAAATACTAATTCTCTCCAGTGATTTCCACCGCAGCCCAAAGTGGAGATGTGAAGCATCAAAACAACATTCGAAATATTTGAGGTACCATAGAGTAGTTTTGTTTAAGATTGCTGATACTGTCTAGTTGTTACCTGATGTAATTGGTGTTGTTGTTGCTGCTTGTTTGTCCTCACCTGAACAAGATGAACACAACTCTTCAGAAGTAATATGTTTACCATATATTGTGACATAATGTTTAAACTTAATTAAATCAGATAAACACACTTTTTATGCAATTTTTCACATCACTTTGAAGTGACTTTAAACAGTTTGATCAAACATGTTCTCACCTGAGGACTGAGGCCTGAAGGTCTGCACTTTGCCATCAGCTGTTACTGCACAAGTAAATAACTTAGACCTTGGTGTGTAACTATAATGAGAAGTCAGAAATATCACAGAGGCAGAGCAGGAAGACTGTGATGTCTTTATCTCTCTGTGATCTTTATCCACATCTTGACCCTGAAGCAGCCACTTCACTCTGTGTCTACAGTCTCCATATGTCGTCACAGAGCAGCGTAACCACATCCTATAATTGTCCTGTTGTTCAGTCACTGAAGATGGAGATATTGTGAGAGAAAGACAACAACAGTAAAAATAACTTCATCACTGTAATAATAATAACTATTGTAATGTTTTAGTATTTTGCTCTACAGAGAAAGTTTGGAAACATTCTGATGTAAATACTCACTGGTAACAACAGACAGGTAAACCTGAGAGTCTGGACCTTCTTCTTGATTTGCTTTGTTGATCTGTCTACATCCGTAATAACCAGCATCCTCCTCTGTGACCTTCTTTACAACCAGAGAACATTTCTCTGTAACTCTCAGTCTGTCTGATTTAGCTTTAGCTTCTTCACCAACCTGCCCACCTCTAACCAGCTCTGTGTGTCCTGAATCACTGAAGAACCAGGTAGTACTCTCACATTCATCCTGATCATGAATCACACTGTTACACGGCAAAGTGACTTCATCTCCGACTCTGGCGAAGAGGACACGCTGTCCAATTGCAGCCCCTGAATAAACAAGAGAGAAGTATAAAGAAAACAGAGAAATAAAAATGTTCATTTAAGATACAACTAAAGTTTCCCTATGTGTCTAAAAGTTGCCTTCCCCTCGTTGGAAGACAAACACACCACTTCTGTGTCTTGGTTAAAGGAGGTTAGGTAATAAAGTAACATTCATGATGAACACATCACCTTTTATAATGTTTCTAAATATATACATGTTGTAGGAATCCTTACCTGTAAACTGAAGCAGCAGAATAAGAAGTGAAGACATTTTAATCCGTTTTAACTCGTCCATCGTGTCTCTTGTATTCGTGTAAGTCTCTAGACTGGCTGCCTCTTAAAGAGAAATGTTGAATGTACTTCCTATTATCAGAAATGTGTCACTTCCTCAAAGTAGCTGCCTCTTCTTTTCTATACGTTTCTTGGTAATTTGCCTCTCAGCATCGACTCAGTCAAGATGAGCACATGTCGCTTCCTGTGGGTTTACTGTAACATTCATATAAAAACCATAACCATATAAGTACATTAGATACCAGCAGACGAATGATACCAAATACATTTTGTGAAGTAATCACGTTAAAAGTTACTTGTAATTCACTTCCAGATTAGAAATCACATCTCTTTCCTGTCCAGTGAAAAACACGTATCTCATTATTGGTGATATATTTGTTTTAAACTCATGAAAACTTGACTGTTTAGAGTTACAGTACATGGTTGGCAAAGGACAAAGCTACAAACATTTATATTATAGAATATGATGCATTGCTGGCAGGGGCGGACTGGGACTACAAATCAGCCAGGGACTCTCGACCGGCCCACTTCGGTACCGCCGGCCCACCTCGTTACAGCAAGTAATTACCGCTAGTAAATTATCAACGGGGTGGGGGGGGGTGCTAATGACTTATCCGAGCGGCCCACCTCGGTGCCGCAAGTAAATACCGCTAGTAAATTGTCGACGGGGGGGTGCTCGTGACTTATCCGACCGGCCCACATTGTCCGACCGGCCCACTTCAGTACCGGCCCATCGGGATTCGTCCCGAACGTCCCGATGGCCAGTCCGCCCCTGATTGCTGGAGATTAAATATCCAACAATCACAAAAAGGCGGGAAAACACAAAGACAGGAAGTGACGTCAGAGATGACACAAGGACAGTGTTTTTACAAAATAAAACAGGAAGTACAAAGAGCAAGATCACGATAAAGACACTGTTAGTAGGAACCACAGAACACAGTGTAGAATTAAGTTAACATTTATTATTTGCAGATTATATTGTTGTATCAGGAATAACAAAGAGAAAACTTACTTTCTACATTAAGGCTGAAAACCCATTCAATCACATGGACATCAAAACACATGTTTTAACAGCTAAGCTAAATGAAGTGGATTAAATTGATCTTTCTGCACACAGTGATATTAAAATGAGCTCAAGCTGCTGTAGCTCTAATAGCAATCAGTACATCTTGAAATCAGCTCTGAGACCTTCAGCTGGAAGACAATATAAGGAAGGAAACAAGAATTAAAAGCTCTTTACAGTGACATCCAGTGGTTTATTAGATCAAGACTAAAATGAAATAATATGTAATTCAGAATGATTATATAATCTTCCACTCCTGATGTGAAACACGATGATAGATGTAGACGTTGTTGATCAGTGGAGTCTGATGGAGGCAGAAGTGTTGCTCAAACTCCATCAGGAGGTCTGATGTTTTCATAGTTCACTGTACCATCATCCACATCATAACGCACCTGAGGAAAACAACAACAACAACAACAACAACACTGAGTTGGTTACAAAGGATTTCAAAGTAAAACACAGTTCACAGTTTAATCAGCAGACCCTGAACGCACCATCAGTTACCGTCTGATCTGATTTAATCTACTGACTTCTGCACAGTTTGCTTTGAAACTAGATTTTATCCTGCACATTATTCACAGTAACATACACATTGTTTTCCAATACAACAAAACTATTAGCATTGCTAAAAGCCACTAGTGTGAAGGTGGGGAAATCCTCTGTGATGTAATTCAGGGGAATCAGTCCTTTAATCTGAACTCATCATGTTCAGTTGTTACTGACAGGTTCAAAGAGGTGTTGATTCAGATCTATGGTCTCTTTGGAGGCTGTACTTTGTGTCTGTGTTTATCAGTTCATAATGAAGAGAGAGTCAAAACAGTTCAGTATTTTGTTGTTATAAAAGTGAGTTAATTAAACTAATTTCCATTAAGAAAACAAAGAATAACCTTTTGCATCTTCAGTGATCACAGAAGCTGTCGTAGTGAAACCTGATCTGGTGTCGCTCTCTGCTGCTGCTGCTGCTGTGTCCTCACCTGAACAGATGAAAAAAGATCAACAAATGTTTCACTTGCAAACTGTCTTAAGGGTAATTTATATTGTGATGTAATACTTTAACTCCAAATCCGTAAAATAAGTACAAATATATGAGTTAATTACGTTTAAACAGCTGGTTCTCACCTGAGGACTGAAGGCTGAAGGTCTGCACGTTGGAACCATAATCTACTGAGCAAGTAAACAACTCAGACCTTGGTGTGTTACTAAAAGGAGAAGTCAGAAATGTCACAGAAGCAGAGCAGTAGGATGCTGATGTTTTTATATCGCTGTTGTCTTTATCCACATCTTGACCCTGAAGCAGCCACTTCACTGTGAGTCTACACCAGACCTGGGCATCGTACGGCCCCCGGGCCACATACGGCCCTTTGGTTGACTCTGACCGGCCCGTGTAAGGCTAATTGGAAATTACAAAATAAACATATTTTCTAACTTTACCTCATGCATGGACTAAAGCTGCATTGCTTTTATTTTGAAGTTGTTTTTTATTCACGTGCATAATGACGCAATACGTATATCAAGACGTGCACATTATTGGATCCTTGTCACAAGACGACTTTAGCCCTCAAAAAAATGTCCGCTAAAAAAAGAAAGGTAGATGCTGAATGCAGGGTTTTCAACAAAAATTGGACTGCTAAGTATTTATTTACTGAAGTCGGAGGTAAAACCGTGTGTTTAGTTTGCGGGGAGCAGATCGCCGTGTTTAAGGAGTACAATGTGAGTCGACATTACGATACGAAACACGCGGAGAAATATAAAAACTTGACTGACGCTGAAAGGGCGCGGACATCGGAAGCTTTGCTAGCTAAGCTGCAAAAGCAGCAAGGCTTTTTTACCAAGCTTCACACATCCAGTGATGCAGCAACCATGACCAGCTTTGTGATATCCCACAAAATTGCTAAAAACAGTAAGCCGTTCTCGGAGGGGGAGTTTGTCAAAGAGTGCTTGGTGGACTCTGCAGCACTAATATGCCCTGAAAAAAAAGCCGCATTTGAGCAAGTCCCGCTGTCCAGGCGAACCGTGACTAGAAGGATCGAGGACATTGCGGGGAATCTGGAGCTTCAGCTGCAACGTGAAGTGGCAAGTTACGACTTTTTCTCCTTGGCTTTGGACGAGAGCTGTGATGTCCGCGACACAGCCCAGTTACTCGTATTCGTCCGCGGGATAACACCGGACTTCAAGATTACGGAGGAGCTGGCAGCAATGCGGTCGATGAAAGGGACGACGACAGGGAGCGATCTGTTCACGGAGGTAAACGAGTGCATGGACACGCATACATATGTGAACAAACATTTTCAATTATGAAGTTTACGAAATCCAGGTATAGATCCTCTCTCACTGATGATCATCTGTCAGCTGTGCTTCGCATCTCCACCTCAGACATTCAACCTGACTTTGATGCACTCGTTAAAGCCCAGCAGAGACTAGATTTCTCTCACTGAACAAGAAAAGAGAACTTAAAAACACCAAATGAGGTGGTTAGACTACAAATGTTGGCATGTAAAGGCACCAACTAGCAGTGAACTGGGACACTTTCTTTGGAAGCCTTTTTCTCAAAATCACAGTTCAGTGATGTTTAGTGACAGTTCAATATGATGTATCTTGCGTAATATTTGGAGTACAAAGACAATATTGTGATGTCTTTAGAATGCTAAGAACCTCTTTCCAACAGTAAATGAAACTCAAAATGTGTTTGAGTGAATGTGACTGAAAATGTTCACTAATATGAGTCACAAATGGTGAAAAACGTTCATTTTGTTTACCATTGTTTTGGGAAATTTGATTTAATAAATGACATTTTTTTGTAAGGCAACCTCACTTTTTCATTGCTTAACTATAACATATACTCTTACCAGCTTGTCAAAACAATGCTATTTACTGCTTTTTATAAAGAAATACAATTAATATTATGCAGAATTGAGTTCAGCCTTTTGGCCCGGCCCTCCACAATATTTTCAGTTTCTCATGTGGCCCCATGGAAAAAATAATTGCCCACCCCTGGTCTACACCGTCCTGATCTTGCCAGAGCAGCGTAACGTCACCTCTAGGGATGTCTCGATCCGATCACGTGATTTTCACGTGATCGGGAGAAAAAAATCGGGGATCGGATTTTTTTTTTTTTTTTTTTTTATAAAATATTTTTATACATTTTATTTAATGTTACAAAACAAAAATGACCATGTTCACGTCTTAAAGTCATCCTGAGGCCTTAGTTTTGGGTTAAAATTACACAACATCATGTATGTGTTGCTTCTTTTGGGCTTGTTTTCATAGACCTGGTTGCTTATTTCTCTCAAATCTGGCAACAGAGTGGGCAGGGCGCAGTGTCTAATAGTAGCAGTAAGCTAACAAGAGGCTACGTTCAGCTGGTGACTCGGGACAGAGAAAATGTCAGGAGTTTGGAAGTATTATAAAATTGAAAGCGAAGGCAGTGTAACAGCCAGATGCAATGTTTGCAAGGCGGAGGTTCCGCGTGGTGGAAAGAACAGAGCTACGTTCAACATGACCAATCTAATACAAACACCAACAACAACACGACGAGTACACAGCGGCCACTCAGGTAACGGCACTGAAACAACCGACACTTTCAGAGACTTTTAAAAGGAAAGAGAAACTACCCCAGAACAGCCAAGATAGCTGAATTCATCGCGTTGGATGACCAGCCGTTATCTGTTACCTTTTTTTTCCTCTTAATGCATTGCATAAAGATCGGATCGGGAAAAATCGGTATCGGCAGATTGTCAAAATCAAATGATCGGAATCGGATCGGGAGCAAAAAAAGGTGATCGGGACATCCCTAGTCACCTCATCATTGACCTGATGCTCAGTCACTGAAGATGGAGATATTGTGAGAGAAAGATAATAATTAACTTCACCACTGTAATAATAATAATTATAATGTTTTAGTATTTTGCTCTACAGAGAAAGTTTGGAAACATTATGATGTAAATACTCACTGGTAACAACAGACTGATAAAGATGAGAGTCTGAACCTTGTTGTTGATTTACTTTGTTGTACTGTCTGCAGGTGTAATAACCAGCATCCTCCTCTGTGACCTTCTTTATAACCAGAGAACAATTCTCTGTAACTCTCAGTCTGTCTGATTTAGCATGGTTACCAATCTGCCCACCTTTAACCAGCATTACTGCACTTCCTGAATCACTGAAGATCCAATTAGTACCATCACATTCATCCTGATCCTGAATCACATAGTTACACGGCAAAGTGGCTTCATCTCCAACTCTGGCAAAGAGGACGAGGGATCGCTGTCCAATTGCAGCTCCTGAATAAACGAGAGAGAAATATAAAGAATACAGAGGTATACAGATGTTCATTTAACCCTTGTGTTGTGTTCGAAAGCTGTTACCGTTCATGGTGTTCGCGGATAAATTTTGACCCATGATTTATCTCAGTCCAAAACACTAAAAAATAATGACTATCATCCAATATTGTTTTAACTACATCATAACTAACTTATTATGCATTCATAACCGTACCATTTTTATTTTAGGGCCCCAAAAAACATTACACCACATATTTAAGTAAAACATGTGATTCAATTCACTCATTATATTTCCTATAGTGAAGACAGTGGATCATTACATTATCTGACTATAATAGACTAATATTAGAATACAATCTCCCCCCAAAAAGTTTGAAATGATTGTTACAGTGGATGAAGGGGGTGGGGTGTCTAAAGTCAAAGATGAATCTTGATTGGGCCACATTTGACCCCGAGTCACCCACAACAATTCTGCTGGGTCTCCCCAGACCCGAACACCAAATTATACACTTTTTTTTTTAGAGACCTTCAGACTTGGCTAAAATTGTCAAAATCAGTTTTTTTGTGTTTATATAGCTGTTGTGGAGGACATCATGAAGCCTTGTTCCGTTAAAAAAAACTAGACCTTAGTTATTATATAATTTTAACTTGAAACGGGTCACGGGAGACCCGAACACAACATAAGGGTTAAGATACAACAAAAGTTTCCCTATGTGTCTAAAAGTTGCTTTCCCCTCGTTGGAAGACAAACAGATCACTTCTCTGTCTTTGTTAAAAGGAGGTAATAAAGTACAGTGGTGGGCCGTCAGGGCCTTCTCTGCTGGCCCTGTAACCAATCAAATAAAGTGTGTGTAAAATGTTTTTCATTAATATTTAGTTATAAGTTTTAATAGTATAATATCCTCAAAATTACTAAATTAAAGGGGACCTATCATGCAAAATGCACTTTTGTACGTCTTTTCTACATGAATATGTGTCCCCGGTGTTCCAGGGAACTCACCAA